TTTCTGCTTTGTCGCCATAGTCTGAGACTGGAATATCTCATCGTTTCGCCATCTCTAAAGCCACCACATCCTCGTGCAGAATCGCTCTGGCCAATCATCCCCAAAACCCTGCCTCGTCTCTCCTTTCAGGTTCCATTTGAGCCATTCGCCCCAGCTCATCGATTGCAGGCGGGCGTGCGTGCACCCATGGAGGGCAGTCTCCGAGATACTGCTAGCCGCAGGGCACCATCTAAAGAGGTGGTCAAGATTTTCTACCTAACCTGCACAACGATAACACAACTTATCAGTTGTTAATCGACGTCTAACTCTCTCTTGCGTTGGTGAGGATTCTGCCATGTCGAACCAGCCAAAGGAACATGCACACCCCGTTGGTGAGGATTCTGCCAAAGTCTACGCCATTGGCTGTCGGCAATGTGCGTTGCGCTATTCACTATCATGTCGTAAGCCGATCGGATTGAGAACCTCCCGTTGTCTTCCAACCCCGCCAGCCTATCCCGTCTGGCAAATGGTCCTCCGCCAGCATGAAACTTGCAGGACGCTCTTTAGTCGCCGTCGGCAGAATGCTTTCCAGCTGTTCCCACTTCCAGCCGCGACTGACATCCCAATAATCCTTGACATTCGCATAGAGATCAGGGAGGGCAAGTGGAATACTAAGTTGTTCATACAAAGGCTCCGGTGTGATCCATCTGCCCATCCAAAATTTCGTAGTCCTGTCATTTCGTACAATGCGTTTCAAACCTTTTTCCATAACTCGCCACGCGTTGGATACCTTGTGTTTGCCTATCGTTCCACTCGAAGCCTCACCAAGCTCTCTATACTTCGTGTTTAGAGTTTGTGCCCATAGGCTATCAGCTTCGGCCTTAAGCTGCCAACCCAGTTTTGCCATATAAGCCAAGTTCATCTCGTTAAGTCATTTAACCCCTAAACCACCAGCGTCCATCTCAATCGTGACCATCTCCTAGTTTGCCAAGCTCATTTTGTTATTCGTACCGTTGCCGGCCCAGATGAATTTTCTCGTTATCTTCTCAATTTCCAAACAAACGCTTTTAGGAAGTGTTGTCGTTGCATGGTGTAAGCGAGGATGGAGTTTAACACCGATTTGGCCAAGACTACCCTTCCTGCCATAGACAAAGTCTTCGCTTTCCACCCTTCAAGGCGGCTTGAGATCCTGTCAAGTAATTCTGAGAAAGTTGCGCACGTGACCCGGCCGTGAATAGCTAGAACTCCTAGGTATTTGCCTAGATCAGTGGTTCTAGTGATGCTTAGGCGACTTGCAACATCATCTACGCGTTTTGAGTCCATGTTTTTTATAAAAAAAATAAAAAAAAACAACTAGGACTTGCTCAGATTGATCTTCTTACTTGACGCCCTACAGTATCGGTCCAAGCAGTCTTTCACCACCTCAATCTGTTCGTATGAAGCCTCTGTGAAGAGTACCATGGCATCTACAAAACATAGATGTGTTAGAGTGGGTCCATTAGGTGCGAGTTTGATACATTACCAAGTGTTTCTATCGACTTCGGAGACAATCAACTGGCTCAATCTCTCCATACACAGGACAAAGATTGCCAGTGACATTGCATCACCCTTCCTAATACCCCGTTTTGGGTTAAAAGCCTCCAGTCGTTCACCATTCTATATGACTGAGAGCTTGGAAGTTTGAATTCATGTCATCATGAGCTCCTTTATGGACGCAGTGAAATCGACATGATCAAGTGTGTCCTGAATAGAACTCCAAGACAGCCGGTCATAAGCTTTCTCGAGGTCCAATTTAATTACCATGTACCCCTTCGCCCTTGGCTTTGTACGCATGGTGTGCATAACTTCCTGGAACATGAGGACATTGTCCGAGATCTGGCGAACTGGGACAAAGGTGCTCCAAAAAGGTCCCACCATCTTAGGCAAAATAAGCTTGAGCCTATTGGTGATTGTCTTTGTGACGATCTTGTGGCCTACATTTCATAGGCTGATGGGTCTGAATTGCTTAATATTTTCCAGGGCCCGAACCTTATGGATTAGTGCAATGAGAGTTTGGTTTAAACCTTCTTGGAAGAGTGCACGTCACGAAAGCCTGTCTGACCATACTGTAAATGTTCTCTCCAGTTTTATCCCACATGTATTGATAGAAACCTGCTTGGAACCCATCTGGTCCCGATACCTTAAACGGTTTCATGTCCTTGAGAGCATTGTGAACTTCTTCCTTTGAAACCGCCCTATTAAAACAATCTCAGTCAAGGTTAAGTAAAGCGGGGAATGTTCGCGCCCAGTTGAAAGTTCGTGTCCCCGCCGGTCCCTTCCGCAAAGAGTTGGACGTAGAAATTTTGAATGTGTTCCCGAAGCTCATCCCCTTTCGAGAGCAACACTCCATTATCATCCATTAGCCATTGGACGGAATTTCTAGACTTGCGAACTATCGCAGCTGCATGGTAGTAAGTTGTGTTCCTATCGCCAGAGCTTATCCATTCCTCCTTGGACCTCTGAACCAAATAAGCTCTTCCTGTCATAGAATGTCTTCGAGATTCTCCCTGAGCTTCAGCTCAAGCTTTGCCAGGCCTCCATGGTACTTGAATGCCATGGTCTTCTGAACACCACTTAGCCGATTCATAAGGACCCTTTTGCGTTTAAAAACGTTTCCAAAAGACTCCTTATTCCAGGTAGCCAGCTCGCTAGCAAGATTCTGGGTATTCTCCAAAAAGCTTCGGTCTGATCTCCAAGTGCGCTCAACCACACTATGCACATCATCACGGGTAAGCCAAGCTGCTTGAAAAATGAACGGTGCTGGCGACGGCTTTTGCCTCTCCCCCTCTACATGTATTAATAAAGGCGCATGGTCATAAGCAATCCGGGCTAAATGAGTTACGCACGCACCTGGGAACCTATTGCGCCAATCGGTGTTACACATGGCCCGGTCAAGGCGAGCTCCTTTAAAGGCGTCATTGTTACCGCCTTTCACCCAAGTGAGCTTTGGCCCCGAAAAGCCCATATCGATAATCCCTTCTTCTTGGATCCAGTTGACAAAATCAGAGATTCTATGCGATGAGTAGGAACTGTAGTTGCCTGTCTCATCTCTATTCAGGACTAAATTGAAATCCCCGGCCATGTGCTAGGGTCCAAAGATACCACGCTCCGAGTGGGAAAGATGCTTCCACAATCGCCGGCGCAAGTGGTGAGCTGGGTTCCCGTAAACTGAGGCTAGATGCGAGGGCAGCTTATTATCTGTCTCCACTTGTATAAGAATGAACTGGGGATGAGTATGTTGGATCGAAAGCCGCAACAGGTCCTTCCAAAAGACCCAGATGCCACAACTGAAGCCCACGGATTACACTTGAACTATAACAACCCAAAATTTCATTTTTATAAATCCAGTATTAAGAAATCCCAAAGTAACTTTTTCACTCCATTAAAAAATTTTGCGATCAATTGGTGTTTGAATAAAATAATTTTGTCGCATTTTAAAATTAATTCGACACCGAAGAAATGAATCCCATTCGAAAATCCCTAAGTTTTCGGGTACTTCGCGTACCAAGATTTAAATCGAGAATTTTATCTGAGTGAGATCAGGAGAATTAAAAAGGGAATTTTGAACAAGTGTTCATCCATATAGCTTTTGGGAAAATTCACTTTCAACCCCAAAGTAATAAAAGATAACATTTCTAGCCTATGGTTCATGATACATGGTGGACCACAAGACATCCAAAATCCCTTATTGATTTATCTTTTAGCTTGGGAAATTACCCCTTTGCCCTCAACCAATCATTGTGAATCATCCTAGGGTTTTGAACCCTATATAAACCCCCTTATTTCATCTCATATTCCTGAACTCATTCTTTGCCTCTTCCTCACCATTTTGTCTGCCAACAACAAGAAGAGAAACAACAACCTAGTAAGCTTGTTCATCCTTCATTCTAGCCTCTTTTCTCTTCTAGTTTTCTTAAGTCTTTGTGGTTCTAGGCTAATTATAGAAGGTGTGTTTGGGAAGTGTAGGTGGTGAAGGAGGCTCAAGCTAGGTGAAGAGGAAGAAGAGATCCAAGCAAGAAGATTAGACTACGTACAAGAGGTATAACCCCGTGGATTCCTCTTTAAATTTGGCTCTGTGAAGCCTAGTTTTGAGTAGAAATGAGTAGAGGGTATGAGCTTTTGATGTGTTTATGCATAGAAGTGTTTTAGTATGTGTTTGTGAGTTGTTGAAATTGTTTTGGACTTGTTTAGATGAGATTTTGCAGGAGAAATGTCATCTGGTGCACAACACAGTGTGCACCAGATCAGAGTGGCGGCTCTAGCCGCGGCCCATCAGAAGGGCCGCCGGCTAGAGCCGTGGTGGCACGGGACTAGGGCACGGCCCTAGAGGAGGGCCGTTGCCTAGTCCCGGCGCTTCAACAGGGCTCTAGGGGCGGACCATGAAGAGTCCCGCCCCAGGTCCCTGAGTATTGTCTGTGAAGGATTCTTGTGCAGTGGCTGGGCCCTTGTGGCTCAGCTACGTGTCATTTTGGACCGAGTGTTACGGGCCCTTGTAGCTCGGCTCTTCGGGATCGTCTCGACGCACGTTTTCGCTTTGACTTCGTTGAATTTGGATTTAAAATGAGTAAGATGTGAATGGTTTATTGAAGAATTGTTACACAGTGCATATTTTGATAAGTTCTATGTGTTTGAGAAATTGTTAATTTTGTGATCAGGTAATGTTTTTATTGAGTAAAGAAGCATGATCCTTTGAGACTATGATTTATTATGAAAGTATGATTAAATTGTATTATTTGATCAATGAGAATAGAAGCATATTTGTTTAGTGAAATGTATAGAAATTGCTATGTTGCAAACCGAGCATGATGATATATTTTTGAATACTTCATGTTAGTTTATACATGATTTAGATGCATGTTATAGAGCACTTTGACATTTCACATGAGTCATATTTCAAAAATGCATAAGGGGCCAACGTGGGTCCAAGAATACTTTCAAAAACCATAAGCATGTGGTATATCATTCTTTGATGCATTGAGAAGTAGTAGAATTGTTGCATGCATGAGATTGATGCATGAGAGATATATTTATGCATTATCTATATCGGTGAGGTTTTGGAGGATACCGTTTGGACTATGTTCCTCTCGGGAGATAATTATGGACATTGCGGTCCCAGTATATGTAACGCGGCGTGTTCCCACTTTACGAGGTTGGAAACTTCCCGCCGGGCTTGGAATCCTGGTTAGGGGGTGTGCACACTAATAATTCGATACTTGATTCCACAGAGTTTGAACCACGAGATTTGTTATTAGGTCGGAATTATGCCATTCCCGATGGGGTGAATCACACTTCTGTGAAACCATAAGCCGTCTACGAGTATAAGAGAAAGAAAGAGAGTCAACAGAGACTCGAGAAAGAGAGTTAACAGAGACTCAAGTATGAGAGTCAATAAAGACTCGAGAGAAAGAAAGAGAGTCAAGAGAGACTCGAGAAAGTAACAAAGAAACCTCCACAGAAAGTACTCTAATTTATAAATGAGTGTATGATTATATTATTGCACTTGATTGCATAAAGAGTATGATTACATTATTGCACCAGATTGCATAAGAGTATGATTACATTGTTGCACTAGATTGCATAAGAGTATGATTACATTGTTGCACTAGATTGCATAAGAGTATGATTATATTATTGCACGAGATTGCATAAGAGTATGATTATATTTTTGCACTAGATTGCATATGAGTATGAATATATTGTTGCACTAGATTGCATAAGAAGTATGATCATAATGTTATACATGATTGTATGCGAATAGAGCATCGTAAAAGATTGTTTAATGAGAAGTTTAACTTGAGATATTTCTTGAGCATGATTATTGAGTTGTATTAGAAGCTTCACTTATCAAGTTATGCGATAAGAATATGAAAGCATGTAAACACCTGTTATATGGTCTTTTATCATGATCCAATCCGTAAGCATGAGTTGCTTCTTAAGTTATTTGAGAAGTCTATATGTTGATGAATATACGTGATCAGTCTTATACATATATAAGAAATGCTAGCTGATATTATAGGGTGCAAGCATTTAGAAAGAATATGATAATCTTAAGATGATTTGAGATTAGTTTATGGCTATAAAGATATCAAATGTTTTCAAAGTATATGCTAGAATGCTTTACAGGGTTGAGTGTGGTTATACTTAGCTTCGTGCTAACGGGTGTTTTTCCTGTTGTCTTATGTGTTGCTTGTAAAACCCCTTTCAGGTGGGCCCAGTGGTGAGAAGAGATCGAGTTAGATTAGTCTCTTAGTTTGAGATGTCTAAACTCTAGTTTTAATTATGATCATGTTATGGATTTAGACTTATGACTTTATGTTTGAGGATTGATGTAGACTGTGTTGGGGTGACGTTTTTCCCCCTTACATTTCCAATATTTTATTATTAGTACCCAAACTTAATCTTATTTGTAGTTTTACCCCTTTTTGCCTGTGCAATCACCAAAGAGTGGTGGTTGTGGCGGTGACACTCCCACTACTTATCATCTAGTTTTCCGCTGGTTAGTTTATGTTAATGTCTGTTTAGAGATGTAATTAAGAGTTAGAAAAGTGGGATGTTACAAATTGGTATCAGAGCGGTACGAACCGCGGGAAACTTAGGATGTTTTACCCTAAAGATTGAGTATAGAAACTCTATGTGAAAGTCCTAGGAAGGAAAAGTTAAGGAAAGACCTTTAAGTTGAAGCCTTAAGGAAGACAAGCTAAGATGAGAACTTTAAGTAAAATCCTTAGAAGGATAAGATTAAGGAAAGAGCCCTAAGTTATGAAAACTGAGATGAGAAGGACTCTAAGTCCAGTGACCAAATATGAGAATCAGAGTTAAGAGAAACTCTAAGTATCAGTTAGGAACGCGGAGAGGTCGTGAATTCCTTTGTGATTGCTTATATGTTTGTGCTTTATCAATGTGTTTATAAAGTGTTTGTTTCTATCTTTCGAAAGGGAAACAGAGAAGTTTTTCAGTGAGAAGTTAAAGTGAAAGTTAAAAGTTGAGATTGTGAAAGTTAAAGTTTGAAAGTGGAAGTTTTATAAAAGTGCTAAGGTGAAAGTATACGAGTTTATGCTTATGCCTTGTTTATATGATTTACCAATATGCTTGTTATGCCTTTGATAACTGCTTTGAGAAAAGTAGAGAAGTAAAGAGAGTATTTGAAAGAGAAAAACCAAGAGTTTGAAAGTTTAAGCTTAGAAGAGAAGCTGTTTTTGCTAAGTTGTTAAAGTAGAAGAGATGCCTTTGTTGCTTAGTGTAATTTGCTTGTTGCAAGTTTGTCTTAAGCTTGAGAAGTTAGAATTAGCTAACTTGTAGTCGTGCTAACGAGAATGATATGTTCTGATCATGTTCAAAGAGTTCCGCGATGCCGCCGCGAAGAGTTAGAGAGGAATCTTCTCGCTCCTCAGGACCTGGAGTGTCGTCATCCACGGATTTGACGGAGAGTCTGCGCCAGCTCACTCAGTTGACCCAGACCATAGGAGCTGTCGTACTCATAGGAGTAACGGTCGCGGGGATGTGTCCAGAAATATCACGGGACGCAATCCACCGTGTTTCTTGGGTCAGGACGATCCGGAAGTTCTTGAGAGTTGGATCCGCACATTCGACAAGTTGTTTGACGTGGTAGGATGCCCAGAGGACCAGCGAGTAGAGGCTGCTGTCTACTACCTACAGGGAGAAGCTGACCACTGGTGGGTTATGGATGGACCGGCCGTGCAGGCAAGAGAAGGGTTTGACTGGGGAATATTCAAGATGGTGTTGAGAGAAAGATTCTACCCAGAGCATGTCAAGGCTGCCAAATATGAGGAATTTCTACATCTCGAGCAAGGGAGTTTAACCGTTCAGGAGTATCATGCCCGCTTTGTGGCACTGTCTCGATTTGCTCCTACCTTAGTACCTGATGAGGCGAGTAAGGCTCGCAAGTTCATTCGAGGGTTGCACTATGATGCTCAGAAATCTTTCTCAGTGGCGAGATTTGCTACATTGAATGATGCTTATGAGTCAGCTGCTGGTTACTCCAGGATACAACCGTTGCACCGAGATGCCATGCAAGGGATGAAGAAAAAGAATGATGGGATGGAATCACAAACGAGCAATGGA